GGCCATGGCTTGGTTCGTTTCGTGGCCATAAAACTTGTTCATTCATAAATCATGCACAAAATTATTATCATTATGAAAGTTGCCTTTCAGTATCATCCGAAAGAATGAGGGCACACAAAAAAAAAACAACGCAGAAGTTTGACTTGGCAGCCAAAGGGTTAAGCGCGTCAGGCAAAGATTTTCATTCTTTGCTCTCTCCCTAACGTGTCGCTAGCAATTTTCCTCATTTCCATCCCTTCTTTTTTCTTGTGGTCCTGCCCCAACATTGACTTTCGTTTTTTCAATTTTTCAACATCAAACCCGGACGGGTGGGGACTATGTATGACAAAAGAAAAATGAATGTTGCATAGATTGGTTGCATAGATTTTTTCCACTCCACTCTACGCCCTCTCTCTCTCACACACTCTCTCTCTTTCTACATCCGTTTTTTGGTTTTTTTATCATGACGGTTGGAAGCTCGCTGGTAACTTTGATAATTTTACACTTAATTTCATTTAGGTTGTCCGTTTGCCTGCTGTATGTAACCTGCTCCTTTATCATCGCCTCGGCTCCTTCAAATGTTTGCCCTGAATAAATGTTCGGGGTTTCGAGGGTTAAAGTTTAGCTAAACGATGCAGTTCAATCTCTTGGCAAGTTTCCCTCAGATTTTACCATTTCTCTCTCTCTCTCTGTCTCTGCCTGCCTTCTTGAGAGTTCCCTCTAAGGTTCAGTATGTAACAAGTTTATTTCGTTATTGATATGCAGCCGGAAGTTTTTGTTTTCTTCTGGAGCACCAGAAAGGCAGGCGAATCCAAGGATGTTGGTATCCCATTGAAAGAGGGGTTTGCCTTTGGCATACGCCGGCTAGAGAGATACCCTTTGTTGGGTGGCATAGTCCATTGGGAAGGAAGATTATTTGCGGAGCAACAAAAATGTTCAATATAAATATAAACTATTTTGGTGTAGTGGCAATTTCTGTGAATTAATTTTTAAGCTTGGCAAAAACTGTTTAAGGAGTAGTCCTTATGATGAATAAATATTTGGCAAGTGTGAGTAATATTTCTTTAATTGTTAGGTAAATTAATTTCCATATAACTTTTTCGATGCAATATCCGGATACCCACAAATCAATTTAGGCAACTTTGAACCGCGATCGTAACTCAGGAAAGTAGGAAACCAACTCCACTTAATCCCCCTGACACATATCAACTGCAATGGCAATACCGACAGCATCCAAAGTTTTTGCATTTGTCGAACGCATAAATCTTGCACTATTCGCGAATTACTTATAGCGAAGGAGGAACAACAAAAATAACAGTGCAAAACAGAAACTTTTCAGCGGGCGTTTCAACAAGAAACTAAGTTACGCCTATGCCAGAAGCTGAGAATGTTGCCAATACTCTACACAGCCCAAGCAGCAACCCAACCCAACCGCTGCCTGCAAAGCAAAGCAATGCAAAGCCAAGCTCCGCTCCGCTCCATTCCTTCCTGGCTATGCAAAATAGCAACAAGCGCATTGTGAGCACGGAAATTGAATCGAAAAGCTGGTTTCTGCTTGCCGGCTGCCTTAGCTCGGTTTTTGCTTTGGTTTTCCAGAGTTGGGCCAACAAAAATACTCTTGCAATAAAGTTAAGAAAAACATCAACTAGGCGAATGTACGGGGGGTAGTAGGACGGCGTGGGCGAGGCAAAGTGTCGGTCAGGGGCAGGAGGCAGTTGCAGGAGGCAGGGAGAAAACTTTGCACAGTAGATCTAGGGAATGAAAGTGGCAACCGATTGATTTTTAGTGCCACTTCGCCGGGCGGAACCAATTGAGAATCACCCTCCTCAGTGAGCAATTTTTCCAATTTACCCGACCTCTGTTTTAGGCCAATGGCCGCCAATATACTCGTACTCGTACCATAACTTGTAATAATCAACTGAAAATTAAACACATTTTCGGGCTTTGCCCATGCTACTTTATTAGAATATTCAAAGTCTAGGCAAACACCAGGAAAAGAAAGCAATTTCTAGCATTTTTGAACTACAATATTGGAATCGCTGCTGCTGCTGCTGTTGCTGCTGTCGATTGTGTTGGCGGCTCCTGTTGTTATTTCGCAACTAACATTTTCCATTTGGGCCTCAATGGCATTGCTGCAACTCCAGTGCTCCCCAAACCTAAAACTCAATTTCATTCAACATGCTTCTGGTAAAAATTTCGCTGCTGGCAGCTCAATCTTTTGCCACAGCCACATAACAAACGAATTTGTTTATTTTCAATTTTTTTTACTGTTTTGTTTTTTACTTTCGCTTCGGTTTTTGCTCGTTTTTTTACGTTTGTTGAAGCTGCTCATGGATGTGGCCTGTCCATACCAAAAATGTTCTGTTGGGAGTTAAGTTAAAGCTGGGATATATGGAGAGCTGAAGCTCACCTATTCATAAATACAGACATGTAAGAATACGAAAATAAGTTCCACAAAGATTAAAAATATCCGATATCAATGCGGGGCGCCACAATTGCTCGACAGTTATTCGATAATAAATATTTTCATTTAGACCAAGAAAACTGTTGAGTTTGTTATTTGAAATGCGAAGGCGGACGGCTCATTTGAAAGTCAAATTTAATTGCGAGCAAATGCTGGATTTCCCACTCAAAAGTTGATCAATTTGTAATTAGCTGTCCACGTGGCTGGAAGACGGATGGCTGGCTTCCATTTGTGTTGTTTCGATGGATGTTGACCCGTAAATGGAATGGAAATTGTAAGTAGTTTTAGGTTTCGTTTCATAACTCACGCACATGGGCGAATACGATAGGCAAATGGTTTGAAGACCTGCGGGACACTGGGCAGACAAGTAAATAAAAAGGGTACGAGCATGCATCGGGAAGGGATTGGCCAAGGGCCCAAGTTCTACGCTGGCCATTTCAATATTCTCTATGCAAAGCACACAGAAATAGTAGTGACTTGGGTTGCAGGACATAGCACACAGCACACAGGACACAGGACACTGGCATCCTGCCTGACCCGAGTGACATTGAATTTAAGGCATGCCGACAGCTTTGACATGTGTCTATTTATTCATTTTCCATCTCGAGGAGGGCTGCCCATCTCCAGAGAAATGAGATGTGTGTCTCGGCTGCTGTCAATTAGAAGTGGAGAAGTGCAGAAGGCCCTGTCTGTATCCTGTATTCTACATATCTGCCAAAAATCATTACCTCCACTAATTGCAATTGGCAAGCGGCAGGCAGCTAGTGGGTGGTGGGTGGTGGGATGTGGGAGGGCTGTACTGGAGCCACCAAAAACGGTTCCTGAGCCCTGAAAAAGTTGAGCGCAAATGAGGCAAAAACCGTGGCATACTTTTCGGCGCACATTCGTGGGCGCTCTCTCATCTGTGTGTGTGTGGTGTATGTGTGTGCGTGTGTGCTTGTCTTGGTTTGTTTGCAGGCGCTTAAAGGCAAGGCAAACCATGTCAATGACATCTGACACGTGACCCTTTACCCCACTTCTCCACACACACATCCTCTTACACACAGACACACAAAGATGCAGAAGGGACTCTTCCGTACACATGCACACACATCACATGTACTGGCGTGGCAGGAGGCTGCCATAAAGCAATAACCATAAACATTTAGTCAGGGCATCCAAAACTTGTCGGCTCCCCTTCATTGTTGTATCGCTCAAGTGGCGAAGGGTATACCAGACCAGGCCCAACACATGTCTGTTGATTTATGGGCCACAGGAATGGTTCCTGACAAATCGTTCTAAGCAATCAAATAATATTAGTTACATTATTACACTCCATGTATGTACCTTTAGCTTAGGCTTTATATTTTATTTTATTTTCAATATTTTATTTGTAAAATAAATTTGACATAAAATATAATACTTTGGCAGAGTTCCAAGGGATACCAAGGGGTATCACACTGTCGAGAACACACTGCAATATGCAACTTCCTTATTGTTGTTGTTAGCTTTTTTTTGGGGTCGTTCCAACGTGATTAGATGCGATTGTGCGCGCAATTGAGCGAAATTGATGGCAATGCCATTAAAAGGTATGGCTGGTCATGCCTTCCCCTTGCTGCTGGCACAACCAGCCCTACTGCTGCGTTCTCTGCTTTCCTACCCTCCCCACCACACACACTAAACGCTGCATTGGATTTCCCTTTGGGATGTCAGCGTCGCAGCCATCGCTGCCATCGCCATCGTCGTCGTCGTTCATAATTAATTTTCTACTGAATTTACTTTCATGGCATTTTGGTTAGCTGAGAGTGGTCCTCCTATTCCACCTTCCCCCTTCTTCATGCTGCTGCTGCTTCTGCTGCTGCTGCTGTGGGCACATAAAAGTTGTTTCAGCTGCGGCATTTATTTTAATTTGAAAACTATTTCCCTGCCGCGTCCCTTCATTCCTTACTTCTAACCAATCCTGCCCTTCCCGCTGCCTCTGCCTCTGCTTCCGCTTCCGCTCACGCTTATGCTCATTATTTTCGCATGACTTTCGTTGGATTTTTATTACACAAGTCGCTGGATATTGCGTATACGCAGCGCTGTCCGCCGTTTTCATTATAATTTGTATATGGCGTGCGCTCGGTTACTGGCCCGATTTTGTTGATAGGAATGGCGGGTTGGGGTGGGGGGAATAGGGCACAAAATCTGTTATAAATATTGGCAGAGGCCGCTGTGCCTTTGCCGCTGGGGCTAATGGCAACATAATTATATGGCGTGCCAGGTTTCTGGCCCAGCGAGGGAGCGGGCCAACTTTTTGATATCCTGTGCAAATGATCGCGGCGTACCGAGTATGCCGGGCACATATCAAAATACTTAGCGTAGTTAAGCGCGCAAATTATTTGCACGAAAATATTTCTATGACCCCTAGGGCTGGGGCCACTTCCGGTCGCGACCTACGACCCGCCACTTGGCGTGTGTGGCGCACATTTCGCTCTTCGGAGAGTCGTTGCCCCAAGAGGCCAGAGGCTCGCTGAAGTTCCTTCTGCGTTGCAGATAACCCGGCAATTACCTTTGATTGGTCACTTAAGCAATGTGCTCATTCTGCTGCTTGTTTTATTGTTCAACGATTTGGGGCTTGGCTGCAGACTCAAGGTCAGTGGAAAATTTTCAACATTTGCAATTTAAATTGGGAACAAAGTGGCCAAAAAATATGATAATCAATTCAATTTTTCTTTTCATTGGATTCGCCGTCAAACTTCTTGAAGACAGAAGCTTTGGCCTCGAACTTGTCGCGACTCATCGTCACAGAGGAAATGGACGATGGCCTGGCCACCGGCTGGGTGCACATCAAGGACAGCGGCTTGAGACGCTCCCCCTCGAGCGATATTTTGGCCTCGAAGTAACGTCTGGCCCCATTGACGCCCACCTTGGATACGTCCACAGTACCCATTTGGCTGAAGCGATCGGTTTCGGCGTCTCTGGTGGGATACTTGTCCAGCTGCAGCCGTTTGAGGAGCGAAGCGTACATCAGGAGCAAATGGCTGAAGTGCACGACATTGCTGTGTGGCCCGGCCACTTGTGCCATGATCCTCTTGGCCTCCCAGTGGGTCTGCGGCACTGAGAGCTTCTCGAGAGCTCGCTTTAGGTCCGTGAGGGAAATGTAGCCGTCGGCATCCTGGTCGACCTCGTTGAATACCTTGAAGGCCCCATCGATCTCGGGCCGCTTGAACCAGGGCACAAACTTGTGGTACACCTCTTCGATATCAATGTCCCCCTTGAGGCTGATGTCCATGCAGCTGTTTTCGGTGAAGTTTGGCTTGGGCTCCATGACGACAAGCACCGAAGGTTGCTTCCGCTGCAGCGGCTCCAACGAGGCGAGCGCACCGGCACCCTGTGACGTGTCCTTGCCGCCCACTTCCCTGCAGTCGCGCTGCAGCATTAACTGGTGGCTGGAATTCATCTGTGGCATGTCATTGCAGCCACTATCCAGACTCATGGTGGACGTGTGAGGATCCCGCTGGAGGATCATCTGTCGAATGGCCTGGTACGAGACGCACGAGGAGAAGGATGAGCACGACATGTTCGGATAGGGCACATCCTCCTCCGACTCCCTTGGTTCCTCGCTGGGCCACTCAATGAGCGACATCCCAGATGCCCCAATCTCTGGATCCCCGAAGGATGCCTCCGTCAATTCCTCAGGCTCCTCCTTTGGCTCATCTGCCGGTGCAGAGTCCTGTGGCATGACCGTTTCTGCCTTGGAAGACTCCGGTGTCTCTGGAGCATCCTTGGGCCCATTTTTGATGGTAGTCTGGCTCACACTCATCGACACGCTACCCTCAAACTTTGGCTCCATGTCGGAACAATCGCTGTCGCTCAGCCCTGTGTCCGACATTGTCTGTGGTCTGTATTTGAGTTTATTGTGTTCTGCGAATAAAAACCAAAATAAATAAGCAGCTTTACTAATTTTAGGATTATTTGTTAACCTACAATTGTCTTACGATGTGAGTCTTATACGAAGTGTGTCTAAAATCTCTGTGATACGATGATGGAATATACTGTGAACGAACGAACTGTCAAGAACGAACAAAGCTCAAAAATATTATCCAAGAAAGCACTCATCTATCATCGATCCCCTTGTCAAAGCACTTTGGCTGGATAGTCTCCCGCCCCCTCGCCACTTGAGATTAATGACTGAGGACGAGAATTTCGGCACGTTAACATGCCATGGCCATAAACAGTTAATTAAGCTTTTATTGGTTACTCTTTTTTCTTCACGTTTTAACTTTCGGACAACTCGACTGACATTTCACGTTTTATTTGTCAAGCAAGCGGCCAAAAAGTGACGACCATAAACGGCCAACGCAGCCCCCAAAAAAAAAACCGAAGGAGGCTCCGGTCCCACCGCTTTGGTTTGCGGCTTCAGTTCGGTAGCCCGCTCTGACTCCGGCGTCACCGCTGCGGTACCGGTCTACGGCTTATTTATTCACTCATTTCGTGTGCAAAAATATTTGGTGATAACGAGCTGGCAGCCCACGGCGACTTGTCATGTTTAAACCACATTTATTTGCTGCTTGCTGCCTTCACAGCGGCGACAATAAAAAAAAAATGTATATATGTACATTCATATATACATTCTCCATATACATATATATATATATATTTTTTTGTACGTTAGCCATACAAGAAATACAAGGAATACGAACAACGTAAAGGGGACGTAAAGGAACGAGAAATGTCAGCAAAAAGTTGCCGGCTTCGGCATTTAATTTACATAGCAAAGTTTTTCCTTATTTCGAGAATGCTGATTATAAAATTGCCGAGGAAATGGGAACTGCGAGTTGGGAACTGGGTTAGCCCCGGAGTAGCTGGCGGGAGGCTCGCAAAAACATCAACAACCAGATAAAAAGCGCCAAAAAAACAAAAACAAAAAAAAACGCAAACGAATTTGTCCCCAAAAAAAGGGACTCGCAAGGTAAGTGAGTGCAGAAAGTTCTGCAGCTCTTTAATCAGGCACCAATACAAATATATACTGCGATATGGGCAAATCATATGCAATGGTGGGTTCTGTGCCAGAATTTCGCTGCGATTCAGCCCATTCAGGTAAGGGGGCAAGTTTATTCTATCGAGACCTTTATTGCGCTGAAAGCAGGAGTCCACTGTAAGCTAAAATATCTGCTCAACCGATATCACATGGGTATATGTATATGAATGCAAGAAAATACTCACACGATGGGGAAAGCGTCTGAAGAATATGCAAATTCTTGAGCCGAAAAGGTAATAAAAAACGAAATATTCACGTTGAATTTTTAAGATGTTTCGATAATTTTGATTCAGTAATAATTTTTTGATGTTTGGAACGAGGCCAATGGTTTTCATATGAGTAAAATCCGAATAACTAAGATTGCATTGTCAAAAAATAAAGCAAACTATGTTCCATCAATAATAATACAAAATAAATCCAGGCGGAAAGCAGACCTCTGTGCGATTCCCCATTCGGGAACAGACTTTTGTGAGTGTGCCTACTTCTGGGCAGGGCGAAACTTTCGCTTGGCCCAAAAGTGTCAAAACAACTGACTTGGAGGTGGAGGCGGAGGCTGGCGCTCTGGCCAAAGAAAGTGTAAGTTGTTGATTTCGTAAGCCAGTGCAAACAAAGGAGAGGAGGTGCAGCAACAGCAGCAGCAGCAGCATCAGCATCAGCAGTGCCCGCACGCCCACCAACAGTGAGTTGGCCATCGGCCAACACGTAATGTTTTTTGGTACACTATTTTGCGTTCGTTGTGCTCAGAAGTTCATGAAAAACTGCAAGCGAGTGAAATTGAAATGCAAGCTGACTGGCAGGCCCAAAACTTGCTGCTGCATAAATTGCAATCTTGCAACCTTTTCGGGCGAAAAACAAATAAAATCGTTCCAAGAGTCTGCCGATCATAATTAATGATGGGTACAGTCAGGGTACAGGCAGAGACCCTGCCCTTGCCGTTTCCGGGGGCATAATAAATCTCAATATAACTCAAGTGACTGTTACAGTCTAAACTTTGACATTTGATGGAAGGGTTGGGCATTCCACTCCACTCTGCTCTCGCCTTGCCCATTCCCATGGCCGGACCTGAACCTAAACCTGCTCCTGCAGCCATCGTTTGTCATGCTGCACGTAAGTCCAATAAGGGTTCAGCTTAAAGTCCAAATACTTGACCAGGCCGGGCCTGGACCGGGAACAGCCTTTACTTAAATATATATATATTTGTTTTTTCCCTGTCCCTGTCCCTTCCTTTTCTTTTTTTTTTCGTGAAAGCCCAAATTGATTGCTTGAAAAATTTCAGCCTCATGCTCGGGCATCTTCAGTCATCCTCTTGGCTGTGGCTGGGTCTGGAGCTGGGTCTGGAGCTGGGTCTGGAGCTGGCCTTTGCTTTGCCTTTTTTCCCCCATTTATTTTTTTGGTCGTTTGGGATTTCACTTAATTGAAACCTTAAATGTTTTAACATTGCGTTTGCCTACAGCATGAAAGAAAGCCACAGCACACACATTCATTCAAAGGGAGAGAGAAAATGGAGCTAAAAAATTGTAGCATACTTTTTGCGCTGCCACAGAAGGCTCTCTCCACACACACACATGAAGCCAGTAGGGACAAACTCACACAGCGCCAAAGTCAATCAATCAAAATGCCATTCAACGTGTATTTGCTGGACTTTATTTTCTTATTTTAAACATTGAGAGTGGGAAATGCATAAGTAAGTTGTGGACTGCCAGAATCCGTGCTCCTTTATCTCCCAGAACATTGTTCTAGGGGGGCAAATTACATAAATTACATTCGGTGGAAATAGCTGCAAGCTAATTAAGAAAAATATGGCTAATGACTGGGATAAAATTGTATTTTTAAATACCCTTCCTTGGAAAGGTCACCAGACCTTTTGCGTTTTTTCCTTCCTCGCGCTAAGCAATTAAAGTAAAAATGCAAAAAATAAATGTCTGTATTATATTTGGTATGTATTCCAGCAGCCATTAAAGTCATAATTTCACATTAAGTGCAGACGTGACTGTGGCCAGGAGTCGCCAACCGCCAACCACCAGAATGTCCCAACGGGCGCCACATGAACCCAATTGAGAGACGGCCCATGTCTTCGCAGCAGTTTTTCTCGTGCGCTCCGCTGCCATCACAACCCAAACATTAATAAGTCAATTGATGTTTTGTTAACCCACCGACCGGGAGAGGAGGCTGTGGACAGAGGCCGAGGTGGAGGTGAAGGTGGAGTTGGAGGCAGTTCGTCATTCGAGTGGCAGCAGCTCCCTGGCGGCGTCGACCGACATGCGTGTGCTCGCATTTATCCCAACGGGAGCCGGGACTAATTGCAATTTATGTACGCAATAAAACATTTGCCAAACTGCTGGTCGACACTGCCATTCGTTACGGCTTCTCCGGCTATAAATTTATGAATCAAACAAATTCGGCGATGGCGATGGCCTGCGGCTTTATTAATCAAGCCACCATCACGGTCACCGTGGTATCCACAGCGCACAGCACACAGTGCCCTCCCCCGCTGACAATCCGAGTCAATTGAAGTCAATGCTCAAATAATCACAGCACAGCCCCCGAAAAAGCACAGAAAGGGGGCGAAGTTGATGTCTTGATTGGCTGAGCTGGAATTTGATTTAGCGTGCGGAATCAGGACTGCAAGACCATTAAAAAATTTACTACTGCATTACATAAGGATCCAGAGGCGAACACAAAATTTAACTGCCGCAGTCGTTACGCTCGAGGCATTAAAAGTAATCTGCTTAGCATTTTGCGGCAAGTTATTCGACCAGTCGAAACAGGTGGCCAAAGGATGCCAAGGAAGAGATGGATGCCCATGGTGATGCTCGAATGCCCTTCGTTGATTCATTATGCTACGAAAATTTCAATGCCTAAAATGTGAAATAAGAAAAAAAAATATTGAATATTAGAAGAAGATTATGAGCTATATTTATTATTTTGTTTTATATATATATGTATATATGTGTATATCCAACGTCCCCAAAAAGCTAAAATACCCTTTAAAAAAAAAACTCTTACAAACTGCACAAAATTTAGCAGCAGCCCGAAAAAGAGATACAGATAGAAAGATAGAAAGAGCGAAGCAAAAAAATAGAAGGCTGTGCTGAGACCTGGGTGCTGGCTGCCTTTGGTGCCAGCTTCTTCTCCATTTGAAGTGATTGCCGTGCACAATTCGCGCTAAAAGCTTTCACTTGCCAATTGCCGATGAAAACAAATGTGCCGCAGTCCTCCCGTTCATGCGTCCATCCATTCTCCCATTCCGTTCACCCATCTTCCATGCCATCTCCGCCGTGCTCCACCTACTTCGTTCATCCAACCCGTTGGCCTGACCCACTGCAGATGATTCTGTTTTCGCAGTTGTTTTTAAGCAACAGAGACTCAACTTGGCCAGCAAACCACTCCTATTTGGGTTCGCATCAAGATGTAGCAATGGCAATGGCAGAAAGAGCGCAGGATAAATACCCTGAGGATATATTGATGCGGTGAACGAAGTCAGAACTAAGGTAAATCGAAGAGAAGATCTTTGGATGGCAGCACCATAAAAAAATAATGCTTTTTACTGTTCTATATGGGATAGGTTATAGATGTTACTTGGACTAAATACCAGTTGAGTACAAAGAAAAACAAATGTATAGGATTATTTCACTTCCAACTGTGATGACAATCCTCATCTAATCAAAGTCTTTCCAAAGTATTTCAAAAATCATACGCCTTCAGGAATGAGGCCCAAAGGAAGTTAGCTGCTCGTATATCTGCCATTAGTGATTCCAATGAGCACCAACGTATGCACAACTGAAGCAGCTCCGATCCATTCACTGCTTCATCAAATCAGTTCCCAAAGCGAGAAGACCTCTCTGGAAGTAACTCGAAAAACAAACCACTCAGAGCTGCTCAATTGCGTTGGCAATCGGGGGGCTGAGGCTGAGCTAATTGAAAGCTACTTTCGAGTGTTCGCCGACCCAAGGCCACACCCACAGTCACACTCGCACCCACAGACACACGCTCAAACACTCACACAAACAATAGAGATAGAGATAGAAAATGGCAAAAGAAAGCCGCACATTACTCATACGCAACGTTGGTCATGGCATACAAAGGCATTGTGGCTGTGGCTTTTGCTGCTGCTGCTACTTCTGCTGCTGGCTCGGGAAGTTGGCCAGACTGGGGCGAAAGGGCCAACTAGGCTCGGGTGCGTCTAAGCATTTTGTATTTTTTTTTCCCCCTCTTTTTTGTTGCTGTGTCCATTAATGCCATTGCATGGCTTCTTGGTGTCGTTGTCTATGCTTTGGTTGTGTGTGTGTGTGTCTGCGCATGAATACATTTTGTTTTTCCTAAGTTTTTGCACAGTGGCTGCGTACGTGATGCGGCATGCGAGAGGTGCCATGGAGGCCAGCAGTGCATATTTGAGGCAAGAATTAGACGTGGTCTCTCAACGCTTCCGCTGTACTGTGCTACCGTCACAGTGCTTAGTGAACTCGTTGAACTGCGCGCCAGGTGAATCAGGTGCCAATCACCCAGCAATCGACATAGCGACACAGCGACACAGCGACACAGCGCTAATAGCAACAAATGGCACCTGGCAACACATTTAAGTGCTCTTCATCAGGCCCAGGGGAGCAGGGAAGCCGCCGCCTAAGTGCATTCTCAACTGTTTCCGTTTCTTTCCGGCGCATTGTTTCGATTTATAGAGCGCCAGTGGCGCTCTTTTTGTTGCATTCAATCTGGTCGGGCGTGGGGCGGTGTCGGTCCCCGTCTCCCATCGTCCGCTGCCACTGATTTAGAATTAATAAAGGCAGTGCATTTTCATCCTGTCGCCAGCAGCAGTTGATTTCACCTGCCATTGTCTTGGCTTCCTCTCTTCCCACACACACACATGCAAATAAAGGGAGATATACATACATATAAATGTGCTGTATACATTTCAGTGCCAAGATTTATGCACAACCAACTCCGGTGGTGCTGCATATGGGTTCATGCTTTTGCCTTTTTACGTTTATGCAAAGTACAGCGCCTTGCCCCATCTCGATCCCGCCTTCTCTTTCTATGTGCCTCAGATTCTGCATAAAACTTTAGCTGCTGCTGCTGCTGCTTCTGCTGCTGTTTTTCTTGTTGTTTTTATGTGGCATTTGTGTCAAGTACACGACGCAGATTAAAGGGTACAACGCTGGAAGATTGCACAAGGCGCAGGCGCACAGACTCCCTCTCAGATGGAGAAGGAGGTTGGCATCCAGAGAGTGGGGGGCCCAGATGATAAAATGGGGGATGGGTCTGTGTGGAAGGACGAGATAAATGGCCAAGGCAACGCAGCACAAATCGAAAGGAATTGCAATTTAATGGCATAACCTGTGCCAGAA